TAAGATAAACTTTCCTTTAGAAATATCTGTAAGTTTTGTTGTTATATTTTTGTCAACGTCAAGAACTTTCACCATTTCAGTTATACCAACTTTCTTTGCTTTATGGAAATATTTTGGTTCAGCAAATATTGCTATTCTATAACATTTACCATTGTTTGTATAAAGAACTATTCTGTCAATGTATTTGTATTGTTTGTGTGTGTAAACTTTGTTCTGCTTCAATTCGAAGAGATACTCGAATACGTCCATCTTTTTATTCTAAGTAAAATGTCATTTCCGAAAAATAGAAGCGTAAGTGTTTCAAAAGGTTTAATGGCGGTGGCAGATGTGAAGTTAAATTCACCAACTCAAACAAACAGTCAAAGTGTTGTTGTCAATGTCAAAGACAGAGATGTTGAAGTGGGGAAACCATACGAAGACGAAGATGGTATAACAATTGTTCCTGTAAAAGAACAACCAACATATCCTGAAGTTAGCAGAGACTTAAGTTCTGTTGCAGATATTCGAAACGACTACCAACAACTGAAAGACAAACTTCAAACTCAGGAGAAGATTTGTCAAGCTTTAGTATAATGTTAAACTTGGTCGAACACAACCCTGTAAAAGTGAACTCATATGTCATTGCACCTCATGAAGTCTTGAAAGAACTATTGAAACTTTTGACAGAGGCAGACGATATAAACATCAAAGAAATAGAACCCGACATTAGTTGCTGTGGTGTTTCATATAATGTCATTGACAAGATATACGTTATGAAAGGAGGTGAAACGTTGAACTTAAAGTATAGTTTCCCAGACGTCATAAAAATATTTGACGACCACAACATTTCATTAAAGTTTATTTGCTAAGTAAAAATGTCAAAACTTCTTGAAAGATGTTTGAAGAAAAATAATATAGACTTTATTTCATGTAAAGGACTTTACACACTTTTGAACGATATGAAAGACCTGTTTTGTTTGTTCGTGTAGACAAAGGAAAGTTCTATGTCTTTACAAAATATTTGAACTTCTTAGACAGAGAACTTCAAGAAACGCCATGTGAAAGTTTAGATGAAGTTCTTCTCCACTTTCAGAAAAACTTTTAAATATATTAAATGGCAGAAGACATAATGGTTTTATACTATTACGACTAAAAACCCTGAGTCATATAATTCTATAACAACAAACTTACAAAGTCCTCAAGGACGGTATTGTAAACTAACCTTAAACACAATGACGACTAAAGCCTGTTTTGCTCTTTTGACACCAGAAGACTTTATTGTTGTGAATGGTAAAAAATACTCCTTTGAAGATACTTACTCAGATATACCACCAACAGGTTTTGTTGACTTATTTAATACTTTAAGGACGGGTGTAACATGTGCTGCAACTAGAGCAGGTTTCATTATGTTTGGATGTCCGACTGAGTTTACTATAAACAATATGAGCTATAATACAAAACTTATATCTGGTTTTTACTACCAACAGTTTCCTATAACAGGAAAAGGTGTCATACAAGGTTTGTCTGTTCCATTGACATTAAGCACACCAATCTTATATATTGTTTCAAACTTAGGTTCAAAGTGTTATTCGAATGTCGACAGAAACTATTATGACCAAAAGATACTTATGCGTATAAACAATACTTTCTCTGCTGGTTTGCCTATTGTTCATTCGAATGCAGAATTTTCAACCTTAGTGAACTCAAACACTTTGGCAAGTATAACGTTGACATTAGTTGACGCAAACTTTGTTCCTGTAAAACTTTTATGTCCTATGTATTTGTCAATGACGGCAGAAAGTTTCGAATTGGAAGATGCAACTGGTGAAAGTATTGTATTACAAGAACAACTTCAACAACAAATAGCTCAAGAACAACAAATGCAACAAATGCAACAACAAAGTCAAGAATAAAAAAATATTTTTTTTATTTTTATAAAAATGTACAGAATAGATGTTTCAGATTTTTATGACTTCCAAGCATTCAGAAATATGTGTCCATTTCGAGACTATAACAAGCAGTCGAGAATTTGAAACGTTTAGTCATTTATGTTGACTCTGCCCCAGAATGTTATGTTATGAAAGAATGGGATGTAGTCTTTAACAAACCTAAAGCGACAATAGTTTCAGAACAAGAATGTAGACAGAAACTTAAGAAAATAAAAGTTGTACAAGTTGGCATGAAGATGTTAGATGCTTGGGATATCTTATTGTCAAAGTTAGAAGATTTTTCAGTTCGAGGTATAAAGTTCTATACACCTTCTCCAAACTTCTATTCTATCTTCACTGGATATAAATATGAACAAGTAGAATGGAAAGAAATTATAGAAGCTTGGTTAGACCATGTCAAAGAAATTATATGCAATGGAAACGAAAAGGTTTATGAGTATATCTTATGTTGGTTTGCAAACATCTTACAACATCCAAGTGCTAAAAATGAAACTGCTCTCATTATAATTGGAAAACAAGGAACTGGTAAGAACACATTCTTTACAGATATTTTGTGCAAACTGTTAGAGGGCTATTCGAACCCGAATATGACAAACTTAGAAAACATCTGTGGCAAGTTTAACTCCTCAATAGAGAATATGAACTTATAGTTTGCAATGAACTTCAAAGTATAGATACAACAAAAGTTTTGAACTCAGATGCTTTGAAGAGTCTTATAACAGACAAAGTTGGAGTTGTTGAAAGAAAATATAAAGACCAAAGAGTTTGTGAAAATGTTGCAAACTTCATTATGGTTTCAAACAATGCTGTTCCGATGAAGTTAGAAAGTTCTGACAGAAGATATGTAGTTGTCAGAACGTCAGAAGCTCATATGCAAGATACAGAATATTTTGACGACTTAGCAGAAACTTTGACATCTGACTTTTACAACCACTTGTTCTCATATTTTATGACATTAGATATTTCAAAGTTCAATCCAAGACAAATTCCACATACAGAAGAGAGACAAACATTGTTAGAAGCAAACAAGAGTGTATATGAACTGTTCATAGATGAAACTGACTTTGAGTGTTTAGATGAAAGGTCATTGTACGATTCGTATAAACAATATTGTCAAGAATATGGTTATATGACAGCGTCTAAACGAACATTCTTGGCAAATGTCAAAAGTCTTTTAGACGTACAGAATGGTGTAATATACAAAGAAAAATTTTTATGAGTAAATTTTAAAAAAAAATATTTTTTTATCCGATAGAAAAGATGGCAAAATTCATCTCAGTAAACAAGTACATGTCAGGACTTAAAGAAGAACTAGACCCATTCACATATTTGAATGTTTACTTCTACCATTTTGAAAAGTCTTCATTCAGCAAAGTTTGGAACATCGAACCAGTTAAGTTTGCTATTGTGACTAAAAATGGTGCGAAATTTGAAGACTTAGACATAGAAGGTTTGTTAGCAGTCAAAGAAAGTTTTGACAGAAGGTTTTCAAACCTTAAAGAAGGCAAAGCATACAAACTTGTTATACCTTATGAACCAAAGAAAGCAGACGACTATGAATATTATGAGTCTAAGATAGTTGAAGTTCAAGGTAAATTGGGTAAAAAGATTTTAGAGTCTAAGCCAGTGTTTGCTCCTAAAGAGGAAGAGAACATTGACATTGACCCAGAAATGTTCTAAAAATAAAATTTTATTTTTACATGTCAAATTTCTTTTTCTCTGGAACTGGTTCAGGTTCTTTCTTCTCTTCTTCTTTTTTCTCTTTCTTTTCTTTCTTCTTCTTTTCTGGTGGAGTTATGTCAATTTGGCGCAACTATATTTATGTAAAAGTTCTTTGTCCTTTAATAGCTCATCTATTCTGTTTTCTATTTCATCTTCAAGAACAGCGCATGTGTCTTTCTTTGCATTCTAAGAACTTTTGTTGGACTTCATCTTTCCAATCGGTGTCATCTCTGTCAACAAGTCTGTCATTGACAAATTTTAAGACTGCTCTGCTTAATGTTTTATGGTTCTTGTCATATTCCCAGAAACAGAACTTTAGAACAAATTCACCTTTCTTGTTTACACTATGTAAGATTTTATGGTCGACAGATGTTTTGCTGTCGAAAAGCTTGTCTCGAATATAGATAGCGAAATCGCTAGACATTTCTAAAAGATAAAAATTTTAATTTTTCTAAAAATATGTTAGAAAAAAAGTTTGCTGACATTGACAAGAAATTTGAGAATGTTTTAAACAAGAACAAAGGAAGTTAGAAAATGCTCAGATAAAACCTATACATGAAAAGTTCTTATTTGCTCAGAATGGTATAACAGGTCTAATTGCACCACCTGGGTCGGGTAAGACTTTCACTTATCTTAAAATGGCTGCACAACAACAAGAACTAGATGAGAAGAACCCATTCTATGAGTTAGTTGTCATTTGTAGTACTTCTGGTCAATTTGACCAAACCGTCAATTCGTTCAAAGATATTATAAAGAAGTCTAAGTTAGTATGTATAAAGGATACTGAGTTGTTAGATTGGATAAAGAAGTACCAAAGAAGAGTTTTGAAGTATAATGCTATAAATGAGTATATAAATTCGAAGTTTAAAGACCCAAATGAGGAAATGCAGAGAATATTAGAGAAGAAACACTTCAGAAACAAACAGAAAGAGATAGAATACATTTCGAAGAAATTGCAATCTTACGATTGGAAGACTTACCCTCATAGGTGTCTTCTTATCTTAGATGATTTCGCTTCTCATCCTTTGTTAAAGAATAGAGAACAAGATATGTGTCGAATTCTTAAGAAGCTCAGACACTTTAACATCTCAGTCGTAATATGTGTACAGACAGCAAAGAGTTTAAGTAAGGATGTAAAGAGAATACTTACTGACATTGTACTTTTCCCCGGATTGTCCGAAGACGATTTCATGGAACTTATGAAAGAGTCCATGGCAGGTAAGTTTGACAGACATGAACTATGGGAGAAGTACAAAGTCATACAAGACCCTCATACTTCTTTCAGAATTCATATCTACGCAAACAAAGTTCAAATTGTAAAAAGTCAAGCTTGAAAAATAAAGAGTTCATTTACTCTGCTTGTTTGAAGTTGTCAAAATACTCTGTTATTTTTTCTTTCAGTAGCGGTAAGTCTTCTTTGAATGTAAGTATTGTACAACCTTTAATATCATAGTGTGTTTGAGGTAACGTATCTTGAACTATTTGTTTCACATCTTCATTCGGTGTCATTGAAATCGGTAAGTTTTCGCGATAGAACCAATTTCTGTCAGATTTGTAAATCTTAGCAAGGTCGTAAAAGCTTTTGTTGTTTCTTCTGACTAAATGCAACATAACCATATCTTTATCTTCTTCATTTTCCATCTCTTCAGTATAAATCATATACTTATAGTTCTTTTCCTTTCCTTTTGGTACCGAACGTGGTATTCTTTTCTGAATGCTTTTGTCTTTTGCTTCAATGACTTCATCTTTTGCTTGAAGTTTCTTTTCCATCTCTTCACGTTCTTGTCTATGAATTTCGTCAAGAAGTCTGTAAACATGCCATGCATAACGAGGAGAAGCCCACATTGCAACTGCATTTACTAAAAGTCTATGTACATAATATCTCTTAAATTTATTGGCAAATTTTTACGATTTTCATGTGTTTTATGCATGGCCGAAAAAAGTCGGTCTAGAGAAATTTCACTCAAAAGTTCTTGTGTGCTTTGGTTTTTGAACCAGTCGTCTGCGTGTTTAGTATCTGGAGCAAAACATGCTGTCAAAATACTTTGCATCTGGTACATATCGTCTTTGACCGAACGAATGAGACGGAGTTGTTTGTTAAACTGAACCCACTCGTATTCTTCATTTATGGCTTCATGAACGATAGCAGTTGTTGTGTTCTCTGATGTTGACATATCTGTCCTTACATACAAAATAAAAAAATAAATAAAAATAAAACTAACTTTATTTTTTCTGTCTTAAGGAAACTCATGATTTTCATAGAGTTTTGGCGACCTAGATAAAAGTCGGTCTCGCTGTTCTTCACTGTTTTCATAGAGTTTTGGCGACTAAGGTTTCTTACCTACTCGCTGTTCTTCTCTCGGTTTTCATACGGAATTCAGCAAAATATATTTTATGTTAGAATGTTAGATCTAACATGTTTTCTAACACGTTTCCTAACATGGTCTAAAACACACAAAACTCATGAATTTTCAAGACTTCATCGAACTTAAATGTTTTGTCAAGACTTCATTGTAAATGACCAAAAATATATTTTATGTTAGAATGTTAGATCTAACATGTTTTCTAACACGTTTCCTAACATAACTATTTACAAGCGTTTTACATGGTATATGTTGCGATGGCTCATGACTTTAAACAGTTTTGTAGCTTCTATTTCTTCTTTTAGTACATCGAATGTTTTAACGATACCGAAAGTCTCTTTATATTTCTTCTTGACATCAGATAGAAGGAAATCGTCAGCAGTTGGATAGTTTTTGTTCAGAAATGCTAACATGTCCATTTTATCTTCTGCTGGTTTTTCTGCTTCTTTCTTTAAATCTGCATAGTCGTTTCTCATACGTTCTATCTCTTTGACGGAGTAGTTATATTTCCTCATTGCTGCTTTACATTTAGAACATTGCGGGTTCATTTTTGCGTTATATTCTGAAACCTTACCTGCTAAAACAACTAAAGCGTCAATTGCTCTCTTCATCTCAAACATAGCGGGTCTTATTTGTTTGTTCCATACTTTACCTCTTCTATCTTCATCTCTTATCTGCCATACACATTCAGCAACTAACGAAACAAAGTTGTCGTAGGTCTTAAATTCTTCAGATTTATATTGTCAGAAACATTCTTATATACCATGTCGCAATCTTTGTCCATAACCTTATGGTTGCAATGAAATCCTAGAAACTCATAGTTTACCTTTCGTATGAACTTCTTTATTTCTACTGAGTCAGTTGCTTTGACTTCTATTTCATCGAATTCAGGAATGGTTAGTTTTTGTTGCTGAATTTCAGGTAGTTTAGGCAAATGGTCAATAATGTCCTCCATTTCATAAAGATACTGTTCATTTGTTTCATCTTTCGCACTACAGTCTAAATTACTTGTTAAAAGTTCTTGCTTTATCTTCTGGATTTCTGTTTCAAAAGTATATGAAGAAGGAATGAAGCTTTTCATCTCTACCAACATTGACGTAGGATTCATGACTAGCGAGTTTGGTGCTGTTGTTTGAATTGTTGTTGTGCCGATTGTTGACATTTTTATTTTTTTATACAAAATAAAAAAAATAAAAAAAATAAAACTAACTTTATTTTTTATTTCGGGAAAATTCATGAAAATTCAAGATGTGAAAAAAGAGGTGAAAAAACAGGTGAGATCTCACTTCTTCACCTAAATTATATTTTTGGGTCCTTTACACTCATTACGAAGAAGTTTTGACAAAACATTTACGAAGAAGTTTTGACAAAACATTTACGAAGAAGTTTTGACAAAGCATGTACGAAGAAGTCTTGACAAAACATTTACGTTCATGTTTGACAAAACATTTACGTTCATGTTTGACAAAACATTTACGTTCATGTTTGACAAAACATTTACGTTCATTACGATGAAGAAGTCTTGACAAAACATTTACGATGAAATCATGACAAAACATTTACGACATTCTCGTCAATAAAAAAATTAAAACTAACTTTTTCATTAGATAACTGTTTTATTTTTTGACGAAAGTGAACATTGACACTTCGTCAAAAAAATCCCTGAAATCATGTCTTTACATACAAAATAAAAAAATAAAACTAACTTTTTTAGATAACTGTTATTTTTTGACGAAGTGAACATTGACACTTCGTCAAAAAAATCCCTGAAATCATGTCTTTACATACAAAATAAAAAAATAAAACTAACTTTTTCATTAGATAACTGTTATTTTTTGACGAAGTGAACATTGACACTTCGTCAAAAAAATCCCTGAAATCATATCTTACATACAAAAAAATACAAAATAAAACTAACTTTATTTTTTCTATCTTAAGGAAATTCATGATTTTCGAGAGTTTTAGACCATGTTAGAAAACGTGTTAGAAAATATGTTAGATCTAACATTCTAACATAAACTTTATTTTTGGGTCCTTTACACTCATTACGAAGAAGTCTTGACAAAACATTTACGATGAAGTCTTGACAAAACATTTACGAAGAAGTCTTGACAAAACATTTACGATGAAGTCTTGACAAAACATTTACGAAGAAGTCTTGACAAAACATTTACGAAGAAGTCATGAAAATTCAAGAGGGTGAAAAAGAGGTGAAAAAACAGGTGAGATCTAACCATCTACCCTAAAATATATTTTTGGTCCGGGAACAACTTTCTCTCAATTGGAGCTGTGGCATACTCTTTGCGTAAACGGTTCAGACCTTCTTCGAACTCTTGGTCTCTCTTCGATTTGGATTGAGATTGGAATTGCTGGGGTGGAGCTTGCTGGAACATCCAAGGGTTGGGGAAGTAAGGCATAGGCTGAGGAGGGTAGTTCGGGAAGCCTTGTGGTGGGTAGTAACCTTGAGGTGGAAATTGGTAGTAATTTGGTGGAGGTACTTGCTGGAACTGAGGTTGCTGAGGAGACTGTTGTGGTTCTTTAGGTTCCTCTGGTTTGGGAATGGACTGGGTTGGTGGGACGTGGGACATTCGTTTGTGTCCTGTCAGAAGGAAGAACTTTTCCTGTTGGAAGGAAAAACTTTTCCTGTTGGAAGGAAAAACTTTTTCTGTCGGAAGGAAAAACTTTTTCTGTTGGAAGGAAAAACTTTTTCTGTTGGAAGGAAAAACTTTTTCTGAAGTTCGACCAAAAAGTTCTCAATTTTCGAAAATTTGAATGGTTTACGGACGGACAACTGGAAAAATTTTTTCTGTCTTAAGGAAAAATTTTTTCTGTCTTAAGGAAAAATTTTTTCTGTCGGAAGGAAAAATTTTTTCTGTCGGAAGGAAAAACTTTTCCTGTTGGAAGGAAGGACTCGGAATGCCAGAAGGATTTGACGAGGCAGTTTACCTAATTTAAATAAACGACTGCGTAAAAGACTACTTGCGCAAGGTCATGAAGCCCAAGGTCAAGTTCACCACTATTTCTGGAAGGGCTGTCTTGAATCTCGAGACTTCGACTGGAATTCCAATTCAAATACCAGAAAACACTCCTTTCGACGACATAAAGCAAGCAAAGAAGGAAGCCATTATAAAGTTCTTTGCCAAGCGTCCTTGGATACTACTTCCAAACAGAGAGAGTCCAATTCCACGAATTATACAAATTCTCAGAGCACTGTTCCACTTCTCGGGTCAACCATTCTACATAACCTGTGAAGGCGACATCCAACCAGTTCAGTAAACATCTCATTTTAACTTCACTTTTTTATGTTTTTTGTGAAAGTGTCAAAAATAAATTGTTTTCATGAGTTTTCTACGATGTTCGAAAACGTGTTAGATCTAACATGCTAACATAAACATTATTTTTCAATACTTTTTCAGCACTTTTCCGTAGTTATATATGAAAGACAATTCGAGATAAAAGTCATAGTACAATGGAATAATATGTTGCACACCATTTGTTGTGAACCAAACTTGAAAGTCAGAGAAACTGTTACTAGGTGGTTCGTAGAATTTAGAAGCAAAGTCATAAAAGTCCTTACCAATACATAGAAAACTATTGTTGCTTGAACTGAAACTTGCATGACACATAACATTTTGAGGGTCAAACACGTTTCTATAAACTGTCAAATCTGCTGGTGGAAGTATAAATTGAAATGGACCATCTGGTGGTAATGGTTCGTTCTGGTTTAGTAACCGAAGAAATTGTGCCCAAGAACGTTTGTCTACTTTCCAAAATAAAAACTCTGTATCTCTTGGAGGGTTAATTTCAATCTTTTGAAATGAAACGGTGGAGTTCATCTTGTCATATTCTAGTTTCAGATAGTATGTTCCATTTAGTAAAGAGTCGTATTTTTCTTGAAATTCCCAATAATATTTGTTCATTTGAGTTTGAAAGTCATTTAGAGTTTTCTCAAGACTTTCGTCTGAACGAACTGTAAAGATTCTCATTTCGTCAAATTTGTCTATTAGACCATCAGAATCTTTATACTGCCCATGAAAATATACTGCGAACATAAATGCGTTAGTTCTATTTGAAAACAAAACTCTTCTAAATCCTATTGCCTTTGCATCTGAAGGACTTTGAAGCCAACGAATTGGATAGTCAAACCTGTATACTCGGGATGAAATTTCTTCATCTGAAATAGTCCTACCAGCATTTGTAAAGATATAGTCTAACGGTTTGTAATCTGCTACTTTTGTTCTTTGTTTTTCAACCTGAAGCATTTAATATATGTAAAAATATATTGTTTTAAAATGGTATATGCCATTTCATATTTCTCATCTAACAAACAAGTTTCCCAACGGTCTTCTCCAACAAACTCAGCGTACATTTCAAATAAAATAAAAAAAATGTCACTTTTTAAAAAATAAATTTTTACTTCATGCAATGTTCACTAACATCGAAAGGCATGTCCATAAGACGTTCTTCTTCTAACCTCTCTAGTCTGTTTGGATTAATTTGCACGTGCTGTTTCCAAATCCATTTCGTAGCGAAGACCAGACAATTTGTCATAGACTTTTATGGGTCTTCCCTTCCTATATTTAAAATTCTTCGAAACTCTCCAACCATATCTTTGCAACTCTTGCTTTTATTCTAGCAGATTTTCTATCCATTCTATATGGGGGCATTTTTATAAAAATAAAAAAATATTTTTTTCTTTACTTAACATAACCGCCTGCTGCCATAAGTCTTTGACGCCAACCCATACCAGCTAATGAAGGTTGACTTGGTTTAGTTTCCAAACTACTTTGGTTTTGGTTTATCTTCAGTTTTTGGTTTTCTTCTTCTATCGGTTTTTTGTCACTTTTCGGTTCCTCTGACTTTACTTCACTTGCAGGAACAGTTGTGTCGTCAACATCTTCATAAATATCATATGCCATTTGTTTTTTGTTTTCCTTTCAACTTTTTGTGTTGTTGTAAAGTTTAGAATATTTCGACTCTAAGTCAATGAGATGTTCTATAATGAACTGTTGGTCAGTGAAGTAAACTTTTCCATCTGTTGTCTCGAAAGCTCCTTCAGACTTCAATATTTTATTTGTGAGAGTCTGTTTTCTTTTTTGAGATACTTGCCGTTCCATTTTTATGAAAAAGTGACTTTGTAGTTAGGGTTTGTATTTCCAGACCTGGCACTTTCTATTATTGAATTTTTCTCTTCATCTGTAAGTTCTTTGACAGGTTTTGACAATGGTTCTGAACTTTTTGTTTGTGGTGTCAAATCTACCGTTTCAACTTCTTCGGTCATTTCATCTCAGTAAAAAATTTAGTTTGGTTTGTTTTCAACTGTTGTTTAGGTTTTTTAAGTCGGTCTAAAAACTTCCTGAGGTATAGGAAGAACTTGACAAACACGTTGTGTAACTGCTGGAAGCCGACAAATCCATCTTGAACCATTTGTCTCAATGCTGTATTGTTCATTTCATCTCAGTAAAAAACTTTACATTCCCCACGTTTGAGGCGTTGAGGTTGGTTATTGTTTACCCATTGTTGTGCATGGTATATCCTCTGTTAAAGAATCTTTCACCTTGGTCCATATAGTGTCCTGCTTGGTTATAGTAGTCATTTGCTTTGTTATAATAGTTTCCTGCTTGTCTTCCTACATTGTCCATCCATCCTTGAACTTTTCCTCTTGTTTCAGGATTTGGAATAAGATTTGTTGCATCTCGTGCTACATCCCAACCTTTCTGTACAGTTTGTATAATAGGTTGTGCTTTCTCTTTAAGTATACCTAATGTACTCAAAATCTTCCTTCCAACTCCAAATACACCTCTGGCTATTGTTCCACTGCGGGCAAAAATCTGGATGCAACTCCTGCTAATGCGCCAAATAAACCCATTTCTTATAGGATAAAAAATGACGAATCCAAACAAGGACCCTATGTTTCTAAAGCGACAAAGAAAGCACTCATGGTAAAAATCTTTAGTTCAACACCAAATGCTTGGTTTATGGATATCTTGGAAAACATTCCGAGAGTTAGAACAGATGGACCACCATACTGGCTAATATTTGTCGGTCAAAACACAAGATACTGTGAAGCCATACCATTATGGTCCAAAAATATTTTAGATGTGAAAACTGCTTTGACAATATTCGTTGACAAATACCATCCAACAAAACTGACATCTGACTGTGAAAGTTCTTTCAAATCAGATGATGTAAAAAACTATCTGCGTTCAAAAAATGTAAACCAATATTTCATTGTCGACCAAAACCATTCTGCTCTTGGTGTCATTGACGGTTGTATAAAAATGTTAAGAGACTTAAACCAACCACAAGGTGGTGAAGCAAATGAAATGTCATATGACGACAAATATAGACACTTCTCCATGGCAAAGATGAGACAAGTTTTAAATATTTACAATAGCCGTAAACAAAAAGGTTTGGGAAACCACTCCCCGAAGAAATGAAAAACAACCCTGACTTAGAGAAAGACTATATATTTAATAATTTAGTCAAAAGAGACAAACAAGAAAGAATGTCGGGCTTCAAACTTCAGAAAGGTGACAAAGTAAAAATAGAAATACCTAAACGCGACCCATATGAAAATACTATTGACTATGACAACAATGGGAACCCGACAGGTACTCACATTCGTGTTCGTAAAAATAGAAGAAAGTATACAAGAGAATATTATGAAGTTTTAGGCAAACATGGCAAAATGTACAGACTGCAAGCAGAAGATAAAACTACTATTGTCAGACCTCGTTTCAAACTTGTCAAAGTTCAAGGTGGTATACTTTCAAAGACAGTTCCTAACAAATATAAGACAACTCCTGACGAATATGCTAAAGAAGTTGAAAATGACGACTAAGCAATTCTATACCATGCGTAAACTGTCATGTAAGGTGGCATGTATTCTTTACCCAAGCCTGTTGGATTTGTTGTGAAAGTATGGACATGATTTCCTCCTGGTTCAGTTGGTCGAAAAGTCTTTTTTGCTGAATGGTTATAATCTGGAGATAAAACGTCATTGCCAGCATAATATTCTGAGTTGTATAATGGGTGGTCTCTTAATGAGTGGCTATGGTCGCCAGAAAAGTTTGTAGTTCCTGTATGAGTGTGCGGTGGAAGGTTTGCTTCTTTAATTTTCTTCGAACCACCTGTTTCCTTTGAAGAGTTTGCACAATACAAAAACCTGTCGACTATTTGTTCCCATGCACCAACACCAAAACATTACTTGAGGACCTCTTGCTTCCATAGATGTATAAATAGAACCTACTGGGTTCATTAAATCAAACATATGAGACATTATAGGATTGTCTCTTTTGAACTTAAAATATAGTGCAACTATTTCAGGTTTCTTCTGGTTTGTGTAAGAATATTTTTTATAATATAATCTTATGTTTTCAGGGTAGGTAAAATCTTGACTATAATATTTATTTCTGTCATCTATAATAGTATACTATTCTCGTTTTTTCTATTGCATTATATCTTTTATATCTATAATATTCTAAATATAATGTTTGCTTTTGTTCATCTGCATGTAGTGTTCCTTCGTCATCTACATAGTCATAATAATATGGTGCTGGAGCTGGGTCAGGCAATGTCATATCTG